GAAAATATTAGGTGTGTCCCGCGCGCTCATATGACCTTATGCAGTTGCGAGCGCCGTAAAACACTTTACAAAAAACAAACAAACAAACAACGTTTGAAGAAGCCTGCTGTTGTTTTTTTTAGGTACATACATTCTTTATTCCTTCAGGTATTTCAGTTCTGTTGTTTCTTGGTGGGGTTTTTTTTTTTTTGGGTGGGGGTGGTCGTTTTCTTTTTGTTGTTGTTTTTGTTTTTGTTTGTTGTTGTTTTTTTTTCATGTGAAACTGCTGCCTTTTCTTTCCTCGTCCTTACTGTCGTCATTTTTGTCTACTTCTTTTGTATGTTTGTCGCTCTCATGTGACCCGCTATTTCAGGGGTGCCTTGATAGTCGAAGCAGACTTTGTGCTGTTGAGGCTTGAGAGTTTAGCAAAGTAAGCCTGACTCCCCGTTTTGGACTTCTCTTTTGACTTTCACCCCTTGGCGTTCCTATGACCGTATGCGGTTACGAGCGCCGTAAAACCTTACTACAATTTTTAAGGAGCAAAGAGCAACATACATTCATGTACTTTAAGATCGTAGGTGGTTGGCGGGTGCCCTAGAGGGGTTTGCTCCTTCTTTCTTATCGATCATCTGTCGTCTTTATCTCTCCTCCTTCTTTTTTGTGTATGTTACTCTCTTGTAACACCTCTAATCTTCGGCACTTAATATGACCTTATTGTGTTGCAAGTGCCGTGAAACAACTTACTACAACAAAAGCCTTACTAAAACAAAACTAAAACATCTGAAATTTTTAAAGGGCAAGAACAGCGTACGCACTTTAAGATCTATTCAAATTTGTGTTTCCAATATGTGTATATGGTTGTTGGAAACGTGGCGCCATTTTGCCTGTGGCTTGCTCCTGATGGGACGTGTTGTGCTCACAACGTTCTAACAGTTACATGGGGCCATGCTCTACACATAACTCGTTTCGTGCCATTTTTCTCAACGCCCCCCCCCCTCCAAAATAAAGAAATAAACGAATAGGTAAATA